CCCCTACGGAAATGTATATTTTTTTATTCATTTATTATATACGAACATCCATTCTCGTCAAAAATTAAATATTAAAATAAAAAATCGAAATAATATGGTTTGGAGATATATATACATATAAACGGGATTTGGTATAAGTATTTGATACTTTTTTCCAACTACAGCCTATTGCTGCCTTCCCGTTACCCTACGCCACACGTCTCGATTTAGTGCGTCATCAGCTTCTAGGTTACGAGCTTCCATTGCTTCCTTAACCGTTCCGTTCCAGGATTTTCTAGGTCTGCCTCTCTTTCTTCTACCCTGTGGAGTCCAATAAAAAACTTTTCTTGGCCACCTGTTCTCCGGCATACGCAGAACATGTCCAAACCACTTTAAGCTGGATTTTTCAATTCGATCTAGCACTGTCTCCTCCGATGCATTCATGATACGCCTGACCTCGATGTTTGTCTTTTTTTCCATCCTAGATATACCTGCGCTCCTTCTAAGATAGTCCATTTCAACAACTTGGATTTTGCGCTTCGTATCTGCACTCAAAGTCGATAGCTCTGAACCATAGCAAAGAACTGACTCCACCAATGTTAGTCCAAGTCTCTTTTTAGTTGTTGCAGACAAGTTTCGGTCCCACCACAGGCTATTAAGACAACCAATGACTTGTTTGCTTTTCTGAATTCGGGTTTGTATTTCTTCTTTGCCCAAACCCTCATTGTTGATAGTAGCACCCAGGTATTTAAATTTGTCTACTTGTTGAATCTGGACGTTATCATCTATGAAGACTTCAAAACAAGCGTTGGAATTGACAGCTAAGTATTCTGTCTTTTTTAGACTAACCTGAAGTCCCCATTTGTTATATTCTTGGTAAAGCCTCTTAGTCATGAACTCCAGATCGAAAGAGTCCTGCGCAATCACGACCTGATCGTCTGCAAAGCTCAGAGTAAACAGTATATCTTCCCCAATGGGTATTCCCATGCCTTGGCATCTCCTCTTCCATTGCCTAAGGGCTACTTCAACTTAAGCATTGAAGATTAGAGGTGATAAACTGCATCCTTGTCGCAACCCTTTTGTGGTATTTATTGGATTGGATAGCCTGTGTCCTATCTTAACGTACGCTTTATTTTCTTTATAGAGCTCTTTTATTATCTTAAGTAGGGATCTATCTACTTCTAAAATATTCAAGGCTTCCCATATCTTGTTGCGAGGAATAGAGTCGTACGCTTTCTCCAAATCAATAAACGCTAGATGGACTTCTTGATCTACTGCTATCTTTTTTTCCATCACCTGCTGTAGGACAAAGAGGTTATCTGTGCAAGATTTCCCCGGTGTGAATCCGTTTTGATCTTCCGAGATTTTGTCACCAATATTATCCCTGAGCTTACCCTGCAGAACTTTTCCAAAAAGCCTGCTCACTGAACTGTTAATGCTCAGGCCTCTATAACAACCGGGGTCGTTGCGATTTCCCTTTTTAAAGATAGACACTATATGAGCCACTCTCCATTCATGGGGTAGTTTATTTTGCAGACAGCACTGGTTGAACAGCTCTGCCAGGCGCCAGCGCAATTTCTCGGTCCCACACTTTAACAATTCTACTGCAATGTTACCAGGACCTGATGACCGTCCATTTTTCATTTTTTTGAGACTTAGATGTACTTCTCTTTCGCTGATCGTTAAAGTGCCTGCAAGGTTGTCTTCCTCTTCTGCAGATTGGAATTCTGGTCGGTTTTCTGTTAGTAATTCTGCATAGTAGTTGCGCCATTTTTCTATATCAATTTTATTCAAGAGCTTGTCCGTTTGATTGGTTCTCATTTGTCGGATTGTTCGCCAGACCTCAGTACTCCGTAACTCGTTTGGTACTCCGGTTTGGAGATAATGTAGATATTTGGTATTACAACGAAATGCTCCCTTCTTGAAGAGTTATATAATTTAAAGTTCCAATGAATGAGTTGTTTTAAATGTTAACGGCTCTAATTGGTTTTATTGATTCTGAGTGGTTGTACAAAATGAAAAGCGGGTTATACTTCCTAAGTGACTTTTGTGTGAGTATGCTTTTATTTTAAAGAACACAAGTTTAATTAAATTAAAATAAAAAAAATAATTCTTCTACATATATAAATTAAAATAAATATTAAATTTCTTAAAATTAAACTAAAGTAAATATTAATTTTCTACAATAAATAAATTTGAAATATAAATTAAAATTCAACATATACTATAAAAATAAAAAATAAACATAATTCTTAACTGGTTCTTTATTAACATAACTAAAAAAAATATCCTACAAAATTGAATATCAGCATATACAGATTGAAGTAATTTACTCTCAACTTACATTACTAATACAAAAAATATATAAAAAAATATATAAAAAAAACATACCACTAAAAATAAATTTAACTATTGCTTAAGTATTTTTCTTTGAATTGTGCATTGAGGTATGATTTGATTATTACCTTGTTTTTTCTTTCAATTTATCTAATTATGGTGGATTATACAGCTCCCCTCACCTTATGATTTTAGTTTAGTTGTTTTTAATTTTTAAAATTTAACATACCATATTGTTATCTGTGATTGAACAAATTTAGTGATAGATATACTTTTTTTGACTTTGTAAAAAATTTTTTGACTTTTTAACTTGTTTGTGATTGTATTTTAAATTTGGCCTCTGTAATTGTTTTAGCTTTGGGCCTGAAGATGGGAATATTTTAAATTCCCGAAACATGTCGCCCCCCTTGCTTTTTAAGCATTAAATTTTTTTTAAATTAAACAACTTAAAGATTGTGAGTTATTGTCCTTTTTACCCTCCTTCAAAGGTTTGCTTTGAGTTATTATATTAGTTAGTTGGTAATACAGGTAAACGGACGAAAATTTATTACTTTTCAAAACAGTTAAAGTGCCTCCTACAAGTAGGAATTATACTGGTATTGACATCGAATATGTCAAAAAATACCTAGACACCAATTTTCATGCAAATATCGACAGAAATTATTTGGAAAAAGTCGTAAAAATAAAAATAAAAGTTCTATATCCTGTATCTCCGAAACGAAGAATTTTAGAACATAAACTTGTACATTTTACTTATTTTTATCTGCAGGATATGCTGCCGAAGGTTCCCGAATATAATTCAGACCACCCTGTATATGATATATATATAATTCAGACCACTCTGTATATGACAGGTATATTAATATTAAAATGTGATAACTGTACGACTTTGAAACATAAATATTTTTATATAAAATTACGTTATTGACTACGTGAAAGAAAAATTTTAATTGCCATAATGTTTTTCATAGAGATCAGGTTTTATTAGAAACAGTAACAACGGTCTCAGAATCAGTCTACTGAACAACTGAACAGTTAAACTTGTTGGTTACGCATTAAATAAGTCACGAAATGCTTTACTTTTAATATGCTATGAATTCAATGACAATATAAGAACCAAAAAAAGAGTTTCTGTTAACTGAGTCTTGTCTGTTAATTTTGTAAAATCTCTTGGATAATTTCAGTTTTTGTTTTTGGTTTGAGTTTTTAGTAATATTTTTAACACACAGTAATTATTTTGACGTTTACTTGTTATGATTAAAATTACTATTAAATTATTAAAAAATATTGTATTCCATTTGTATTCTCTCTAATATTCCCAAACAATTTTAGATATACAGGGCCCGGCAATAGTGCGTCGGGCATCTGTAGCTCCTAGAATAAAAAAAAACTTGGGAATTTTGTTTTGGTTTGTTTAAGTGCAAACCTAAAGTATGCACCAGGATGTATTTCTGGAAAATATTTTTAACTTCTATAGGGTGGCTCAAAAGTGTGAGTGGATCTGGATGACTTTTTTAAATGGAACACCCTGTATATATTATTGCATTTTGGCTTTCTTTCAGATCACTTTACATAATCCTAAGATATGAGTAAATCTGTTTCGATAGTTTCAGAGATATTAAAAAATAAATCAAAAATATATATTTTTCAACCCTTCTTAAAAAAAATATTAAAAATACAAGAACTGTTCTGAAATCAAAACTATATTAGATATTTACTTTAGATGGTCTGTTCTTACTTTGCTATAAATATGGTAATCGTAAATCATACAGGATGTTCAATATTTTACGCCAAACTTTCAAAAATATAAAATAAATTTTCTTCGTTTTTTTAAATGGATCACCCTGTATATTATTTCTTTATTAGATGGAGAATTAAAAAATAAACATTTTTTGTATTTAAAGTATTTCAAAATTTTTAATAGTTTTCCGGATACACGCAGTATTATTTCATATGGCGCTTTCAATAGTAAAATACGAGAGAAAAATCATTGGGTGGCTTTGATAAAAATTTACTGTGGAAAATGCCATATGAAATACAAAACCGGGAATATCTGCGAAACCGTTAAAAATTTTGAAATACTCTGAATACAAAAAATGTTCTTTTTTTAATTCTCCATCTATTGAAAAAATAATATACAGGGTGTTTCATTAAAAAAAAACAAAGAAAAATTATTTTATATTTTAGAAAGTTTGGCATTGAATTTTGAACATTCTGTATGATTTACGATTTTCATATTTATAGCAAAGTAAGTACAAACCATCTAAAGTAAATATCTAATATAGTTTTGATTTCAGGACAGTTCTTGTATTATTAATAATTTTTTTAATAAAGGCTGAAAAATATATAATTTTTATTTATTTATTAATATCTCTGAAATTATCGAAATATATTTACTCATGTCTTAGGATTATGTAAAGTCATCTGAAAGGAAGCCAAAAATGCAATTATATACAGGGTGTTCCATTTAAAAAAAATCATCCCGATCCACTCACACTTTTTTGAGCCACCCTACAGAAGTTAAAATATTTTCCAGAAATACATCCTCATACATATTTTAGGTTTGCATTTAAACAAAATTCTCAAGTTTTTTTTTATTTTAGGAGCTACAGATGCTTGACGCACTATTGCCGGACCCTGTATAATAGCCGACTAAGAAAATTACGTCGCAGTTGTTAACTAACCTTAAATAATTTTTCTTTTTGATACCATACGTCTTCGGTGTCATCGGTTGGAGTGTTGCCTAAAAAGTTAATGTCGTCACGTGATTTTGACAGAATCCTTCTACGTGAAATCATCTTCCAGTGGCTCTACTCTGTAATTAAAAAAATATTACTTTTAATTTACAATTCATTAACAAGTTCATTAACAAATTCATTCATATACTCTGTTTTTTTTTTCTCAGGTAAGATTTCGACAGACGATGACAGAAAAAAGCAGATGACTTAAGTGGAGGAAAACTTGAGGGAAGTTAAGTGTTGATCCAGACCATAGTTTACAGTTAATATTCGGTACCCGGAGACCGCCAGAAACACAGTTTACCAGAGACTATGGCCAGACAGTTGTATTAGCCATAAGTATCTGTAAAATAACATCACACGATAGGTAAATAATACATTCTAGTACTGCAGAAAAAAATTAAGATTAAAGTTAATTTAATTAGATTTTTTCAGTTTTATACATTTTTTTCACAATATTTTGAAGTAATCACTTGTCGCTCAAAATTTAAATATATTAATCATAATATTAATTATACGTTCCAATTGTACCAACTTATTTCTTTGTAAAATAAAAAAACTACTTTGAAATTAAAATGACAGACACATCTATCACTGTCAAGGATTTTGTCGTTGGATAGACTATAGTCATGGGTAGGATACGGGAATTTATTTTTGGGGGAAGCAAATAAAGTGTAATGTAGAATATGCTTTTTATGGCTCCATTTGCAATCCAATAGCCTCATATTTAACCCAATTTATAGATTTTAGTGGGGGCCTAGGATACATGGGCCCCCCTCTGTATCCGCCACTGTTTATAGTAGTAGTAGGTAGTAGTGGGTAAATCTCAAGAGGGAATTTTGGGATTTACCTAAGTGCAGCAAAATAACATGAATAGAGAAACCTTGCATCCTGCTAAGTATAGTTTTGCTGAAGTCAGTTGGAATAGATTGGAACTCTTAATTTCGACACTTTCTTTGTCGACGCCTTTGTCCACGTCGGTCTTAAGAGTCTCACTACTTCCAATTGACTATACCGCCACCATACATGATGACTCTTTTATACAGGGTCGTATATAGGTGGAATCGTAATAGTGTGAATTTACAAATCTGGCAAGACTTTAAATGGAAACTATAATTATTTATTATTAAATTTTATTCCACAAATTCACGCAAATATTTTATACACTCAGACGCAAAAAACGCAACGGACAAATTTTTGGTCAAGTTTGAAATGTTATATTTTTTTTTATTTTTAGCCCTATTTCTTTGATTTTTTTAGCTAATAAATAGCTATTAGCTATTTAGCTTATATTATGTTATTATAATTTAGCTATAAATATATCGTTAATTCGTAAACTCAGTTTATTATAAACTTTAGTATTTTTGCTTGTTATACAGTGCTAATTAAAGAGTTGTTTTATACTCTATCTTTAAAACCTGTGCAATAATTTCGTGAGGAAATCTTCCTTAGACATTAATTTTCGATCAGAAACATGCCTCCTGAATTTTTTATTTTTTGATGACTATTGATAATGTCGAGGTGGCTTTGGTGATTATTATTGTGCACGATTGAATATGGTTCTTAATGTCGAGATTGTGCAAAAGTCATTAATCTTGTTGAAGATGGCCGAAATTATGAATATTCGCTTGGTCCTTGAAGAAGAATGGGAAAACAACACTAATAATATAATAGACACAAACAACAATATAAATCGACGTTTTCAGACAGTTATAGCAAGCGGGGGAGGCAATACAAAGTATATATTAGAGTATTTTTACTTGTTTGTACACAGGAAGGTTCATTTCGTGCTTAAACATTAACCAAAGCAAAAGCATGTGTTGACATGAGCCAAAAAACAAAATGCTCATGCAGGAGACATGGTTCCGATCGAAAAATAGTGTTTTAGGAAAACTTACTCACGAAATTATTATTGCACAGGATCTTTTAAAGTTAAGGTAAAAAACAACCCTTCAATTAACCCTGTATAATAAGCCAAACACTAAAGTTTATAAAAAACTGATTTTATAAATTAAAGTTGATAGATTTATATACAGTTTGCTAAAAAATTGATGAAAATAGGGCTAAAAGTAAAAAAATATAACACTTGACGAAAACATGTTCTGTTGCGTTTTTTTGCATCTAAGTGTATATTATATATTTTAGATATTAATTGTAACAAATTTCTACAAAAACTGAGGATATCAACGTAACCAACTTATATTCGGATTAGTGTTGTAACTTTCACCGTTACCACATTTAATGATATTAATTAATATTAATTTAAAAAATTATGTAATCCTAAGACAGACACATCTTAAGTTTTATACAAGAGTTTTTTTTTAAATATACATAATAAGGAAAATTGAAATATTAGATAATTTTATATAAAATAATTACGGATTGAATTAATAAGCTGGTTTAAATGTAATTCGTTCAAATGATATTGATTTTTATATCCATATCATTTTATTTTAAATGGACCAAATAGCATATGATCCAAAGAAAAGCATCATCAAACTGCCCTGGAAATGGTGATCGATGACAAAATTACAGCGATTTTTATTTCCAAGCCACCTCTGACTGCGTTTTTTTTTAGAACGTATTGTGTTATCTGTGGTATTCTATTAAAGAAATAGTACGTTTTTAGGTATAATAGCTTGCATACAATGACGTTAAAAAAAACAGAAAGTTATTCAGATATCATTGTGTATTTTATTTATTTTTTTTAAATAATTATACAGGGTGACCTAGTGTTTCGAAAAGCTTCATGTCCAGGTTTACTATTAAAGATTTCTAAATGAATCTTTATTTTTTAAAACATACCGGCAACAGTGGAACACTTTGTTAAATATTTTTGTTAATATACAGGGTGAATCTTACAGAAATGGTGAAGATATACAGAAAAAAATCACAATTTCAACTATCAGGATGACCTGAATAAAGTAGTTTTTTTTAAAAGAGGTTCTAAAAACAGTATGGTCCTGAGGAAGGCATTATACAGGATGTCTCAATATTCTGGACATAGAACTACTGCGTATTTTTGGAATCAAAATCAGTTCATTGGACACAATTTACCTCTACACAAAAGTGCTTTGTTTGTCCGTTAGAGGGCATCAAATTCTAAAAAGACAGAAATATTTTTTTAGATATTTTAAAGACCGTTATCCCGATTTTAATGAAATTTTGTAGGTCTATCGTTTGCTGAGTCTTTTAAAATTTGACTTTCACAAAAAAAACAAGAAAAAATTCCGAGGAAGGGTAAAAACTACCCCCACCACTAAATAAATTTTAGTATAAATATTTTCCAACTCAACCGCCGACCGAATTTTTTTTTGTAGAATGGTCTGGTCTTTACCACATTTTTTGTCTCCAGTAAAAAACGCCACCGTGCAGCATCAGTTCAAATTGAGTCTGCACACAGTTGATGCAGAGTACTGTATGTAAGAGTTCACCTTAACCCGACGCTAGATTTCATGCGCTTGGAAAAATACTTGCTCTTCTTTCTTTGTTCAATACATCTTATTGTACTTTACGTATTGACCGTACTCTTTGTACACACAAAAATTGACACCCAAGGCCAAAAAATGCCGACCTGGTACAAGGATACTATAGAGATAAGGATAGTTCGATTCTTATCTTCCCGCACTGTCAGTTTTTTTACGTCATCTAGGGACCGAGTTGAAGTTGGCGCTAAAGATTTTAGACAGTGACAGTTATTTTTGCATTTGACGGACGACCGCACAGTGCGTTGGAAGATAAATTTAGCGGGACAAAAGCGTTTGGTTAGAAATAAGCCAAAAAATGTGTACTGATAAGAATAAATCGTAGACATTCCAATTGATATAAAAAATGCATTAATATTCTTTGTATTTCGATACATTTTTATCAACCAAATTTGGTCGTTTTCTGCTCAGCAAGGCAGAGATCATACGAAAACAAAATATTTACAAGTGCTTATACATTTTATTCCAAAGCCAAATTATGTTGAAGATTGTCAAAGGTATGTACTATTCTACTGTACGTATATTATTTGTTAAAATCCTTCATGCCTTTGTTCTGCAGATATCAAACTTTCACTTTTTTTCAAATATCGATATATTGAATGATGTAGATTTTTTGAGTTATACCAATAGTTACCAACACAGGTAGTCACAGTCACAGGGAGTTCAAGGTTAACAGGTGAATGTCCAAAAAGTTTCATTTCAACCGGATAGTATAAAAACAAAACAACTCCCTAAAAAGGCACTGAGTTTAAAAAATTGTCTTAATAAACTATATACTTACTATATATGAATTAACAATTACCGAGTGTTAAAATTAAAATATCTATCTTATTTATTATTTTCAAAATAAAATAGAATTTTTTAAAATAAAATATACAGGGTGTCACAAGATTACAAAGTAATTAAAAAATAACTCCTAAAGAGTTTTTTGTAAGTATTTCACCTGATATCACAATTTTATGTATTTATGTATTTGACAATTGTTTACAGTATGGTTTTTGTGTGTCATGTACGAATAATATCATAGTTTTATTATCTTGTATTTATTTATTTATTAATAAATTAAGTTGTTAATAAATAAATAAATTTAACCATATGGTTGCTATATATTAGACAATTTGCTACGTTCTTAGATTTTAAATCCCAAACATCGCTCTTGAGATTTTGTCCCGTTAGAATAACCATCCGTCGCACTGTGTAGTGCTGGTCCCTGCGTGACGTAAGCATCCACGGCGACTACGACAGCGGCGAATTGACGCGATCAAACATTCCTTTAGAATATATACAGTCCTTGGACCTGGTATACGAGAACAAGTGCAACAGGTGAAACGCGCGAAGATGACCAGCTGGTACTGAATAAGCTGTGGTCTGAAATATTCTTGTGAAATAATGCTATTCTGTAAATATTTTACTAAAATGTATATAAAAACAAAAACTATAATAGAAGATGAATCAAGAGACTTTTAATTTAACCTTTTCTTTCCGGTTTCACACACACATTGATATTATATTTATTTGCATTTTACCTTGGCATACAACATTTTGGGTAATATATGAATGAGAAGTATCTTTAGCCTTTTCATTGAAAATATATCGTAGATGTGTCATAGTTTTATATATATTTCTAAAACGTTATTCCATCGAATGCGTCATGAAGATAATTAATTGAAAGTATGTGGTAATGTCGCAAAGAAAGACTGGAGTTATGTACTTGACGATTTTAGTTTGTAGTTGTTTATAGTTTCCAGTTTTTTTTCTATTTATTCACTTCAAAAATGCGCACATAGTGCACACACAATTTGTTTATTTAATATATCGGGTGCGTCTCAAAAGCGTCTCTAACCCCTATAACTTTTTTATTTCTTTAGATAAAAAAAACGAGATTTGGTATGTTAGTATATGGCATAAATTAGGATTGATTGACGTATTCAAGTTTTTTTGTTCACTTCCTGTTTCCCGGAAATGACTACCGGACATTTTCGCATATGGTTTATTTGAAATTGTAACATGCGGTTCATAACAACAATTTGACTCGAAATACCAACTGTGTGGTACCAAATTATTCGTAAAAATAATCTTTTTTCGAATATGCTAATGAACCACCCTTGTTCCATTTGAAAAAATTAAGATATGGCTAAAAATACGATTTGGACATCTTTTAACCGGCTAGGACAAGACACGAAAAACATGAGCCGATCAAATATATTTTTTCAAGGCTCCTTGTTTAAGAATTAGTGTTTTTAACACAGTTTCATATGGCTCTCTAGATTGAAATTTAAAATAGGATTTTGTTTTAAATGAAAATGTCAAAAGTTGACATGATATGTGTGACAATGTATGACAATGACACGATATGTCATTCTATTCAGAGTGACATTTTCTATCGAATAAAGTAAAAATGTACCGAGGATTTGAAATTGTAACATGCGGTTCATAACAACAATTTGACTCGAAATACCAACTGTGTGGTACCAAATTATTCCTAAAAATAATCTTTTTCCGAATATGCTAATGAACCACCCTTGTTCCATTTGAAAAAATTAATATATGACTAAAAATACGATTTGGGCATCTTTGAACCGGGTAGGACAAGACACGAAAAACATGAGCCGATCAAATATATTTTTTCAAGGCTCCTTGTTTAAGAATTAGTGTTTTTAACACAGTGACGGCTCTCTAGATTGAAATTTAAAATAGGATTTAGTTTTAAATGAAAATGTCAAAAGTTGACATATGATATGTCATTCTATTCAGAGTGACATTTTCTATCGAATAAAGTAAAAATGTACCGAGGATTTCATTTAAAAATCAAAAATTGTAGTCATTTCCGGTGAAACAGAACGCGACCAAAAACATTTGAATACGTCAATTAATCCTAATTTATGTCATATACTAACATACCCTTTGAATAAGAAGACTAAGGAAGGAGCATATCAAAAATCTTAGGTACCTACACCGCGATGGGCCTCAAATATGGCCGACTTAAATTCCGGTTTATCAGTGCCGTTCTAATTTTATTTAAAAAATGTAAAACTATGATGTAGGGTAGACGTGGGGTAGACTCAATAATTTGTTTTTTTATTTTACGTTGTGAATAAATGATGGTAGTTATTAAAATTGTTATAAAAATATATAATTCTAATAAAAATAGATAAGTTATAATAAGTATTTATTAACCAAACATCCGATACGCTACTGAAGCAGGTAAGTCAAATTAACGTATCAAAATTCTTTGACATCTGATCTTTGACAAGTAGTAAATAAAAGCTAAAATGCAAGAAAAATATATAATTTAGTTAATTTAAGTGAATTTTATAAATGATCGGTTTACTACACGTATGTATATTATATAGTCACTTACTAGCGAAAAGTTGTTCCATTATTTCACTCAATTTTTGCCGAGATCTACCACACGCTACACAACCAACTATTTTAGAGTCTTTTTCGATAAATCGCGATAGTGTCACTGTTAATTTAAGTTCTGCCACAATTTCCATCTAGATTTACTACCTTTATACAACTATCAGTAGTAGAATAAATAATAAATAACATAAAATAAGCTCTGTAAAGACTGACAAATCCACAAAATTTCAAATCAAATTCAAATGTGTCAAATGAATCGTCAATCAGAACTGTCAAGGATCCCCACCCTAGAGTGCTTTTTCCGCCCACCATGCATTAATACATGGATAGCATTATGCTCCTTCCTTAGTCTTCTTATTCAAAGAACATACCAAATCTCGTTTTTTTACCTAAAAAGTAAAAAAGTTATAGGGGTGAGCCAATTTTGAGACGCACCCGGTATACGTAAATGTTTATTGTTTAATTATAATTTTTATGCTTACCTTTATGAATAATGGTCATACTAGTAACTAATAAAAAATAACCTTTGTTCTTTATTAGCCGTATTATCATCAAGAGTAGATGAAAACTAATTAATATATTGTGCTTAAATTTTTAATGTCAACATCATAAAGTTCTTCTACACGTTTCTTCTATAGGCTAATGCGTGAGGTAAAATAATTAATATTTATTTATCTAATGTCTAATGTCCTCTATGGCAAATGTGATATAATTAAACCACTGATATATCACAATTAAAGATCTCGCGGTACTGTGGTTTTTTGATCAAGCTGGATTGCACCATTTACAGCGTGAAAGTCAAAAATACTTTTATGATTAAGCGTAAAAGTGCTTTACTTTTATGCCTAGGTGTTAAAATTACTTTTTTCTACGATTGTGCAAAAAATAGCTATTTTTACACTATCTACTGTTTTAAAAGTCATAATGTTTACACTAGTGCAAAAAGTAACTTATTTTTTGCACTAGTGCAAAAAAACATCTTGACGTTATTAACGACGACTTTGACTAAAGAGAAAAAGATTGTAATATTTTTTAAGAATTGTCAAATCCTGGAAGATAAACCAAGTACCAGTACTGGACACCTCGCAGCAACGTTCCAGAAAAGAATTTTAAGTGAAGAACAAGAACCCGAGATCTCCACGAGCAGAAATGAAACTAAAATTCAAAAGACTTTACTGAGAAAAGATCCAGTGGTTCTCAAAATTTAAGCAAAAAAGCATTTTTTGTTTAAATTTTGAAAGAAAAATAACTCGGTTATTTTTGACTTATTTGAAAAACGGTAAAGAGAAAATATGTTTCATTTGACCTGATCTACCACCCCTTAAAATACTTGCAGTTATTTCTGGGACACCCTGTATATTTCGGTTAGGTGATGGTTAATCACGATCCTGCTCAAACCACTCAAAGTAAGAAGCTCAATTTTGGCATACAGGTTGATTCTAGGGTGTAGAGGTTCGACAAGAAGGGATTTTTCGAAATTCTAGTTCCAAGGGGGTGAAACCACCCCTCAAATATTACAATATTTATTATTTTAAAAACGGTCAAGTTTCCGAAAAAAACGCTTAAACACGTATATTTTATTTTGTTCTTTTACATATTTTAAGATTTTTTAAAAATGTATACAGGGTGTTTCGAAAAATCTGGTTATTAATCACGATCCTGCTTAAAGCGCTTAACGTAAAAAGCGGTTTTTTGGAAAACGTATTGACTTTAGGGTGTAGAGATTCGATAAGAAGGGATTTTCCGAAACTCGAATTCAAAGGGGGTGAAACCACCCTTCAAATATTAGAATATTTTTTATTTAAAAACCGGTGAGATTTTCGGAAAAACTTTTAAACACGTATATTTTATTTTGTTGTTTTACATATTTTAAGATTTTTTAAAAATGTATACAGGGTGTTTCATAAAATATGAGTATCTAATCACGATTGTGCTTAAACTGCTTGACGTTTAAAGCTGATTTTTGTTATTTAAAAAACAGTTAGTCTTTCGGGGAAACCCTTGGAAACGCATAATTTATTTTGTTTTTTTACATATTTTGAAATTTTTAAAAAAAAATCTTACAGGGTGTTCCAAAAAGTTGGGTAATTGATTAACCATGATTCTGCTTAAACTGCTTGACGTAAAAGGCTTATTTTTGGCAAACGGATTTTTTGAAAGTCAAATTCCAACGAGATGAAACTATCCTTAAAATATTACCAAGTTATATAATAATATCGCCATATTGTTTTTTCTCATGCTGACATAAATGTGAGAAAATGTTATCCAGTTTGTATATTAATGGAAATTCTTGCTTTGCTTTATTATCACCATTACAAATGATTAATTCGACGTGAACGAAGTCGCGGGTACACGCTAGTTTAATATAACATATTATGAACATATTATGTTGTAGGTTTTTCTGGTTTTAATATCAGGATTTTTTGTTAATGTAAAAAGGCTAATTGCTCAAAGAACTATATTTATGCTGTATATTAATTTAAATGTATTTGTTATATCGTAGGCGCGTGTTTCAGTCTCGCGTCCTTCCTTTCTCTGATTTAATTTGTCTAAAAGAAAAGTTCGAGCGATGGTTACAAAACACTTTAATATATTCCATACTTATATCACCATTAGCTGAACATATATTTCTGACTTAAATATAATTATAACAAATATGTTACAAAATTATAAAATTATTCAACCCTTAAAAATTAAAAAAAAAATAATAATTTTCTACATATGTTTTGGACCTACCTAAAATATAAATAAATTGTCCAACATCGCATAACAAAAGGCACCACCACAAATTAAAAAATCGCCGATATGAACCAATTAAACTGGTTTCACTTGAATAAAGTCCACACTAACGAAATTAAATCAGAAACCGCGTATTTTGGTAGAATGTCAAGCGAGCGAGCGACCGCGCAAAGACTAACACAATAATTCTCGCTATAAGCTGGCATTCACTTTTGCTCAGGGAAAACTTTCACAATCGCGTATATAAATGCCACTAAATCTAAGGTCGTCACAATATAGAAATATTTTTACAAATAGCATACGTGTCTTGCAGGATATACAATACAGTCATATGTAGGGTTACTAGGTTATTCTTTTTGAAATTCGGGACACCTACGAATATTTTGTGGAGCAACTATTTTACAGCAGTTTTCTTGACAGTTAAAGGTTGATTCTCACTATACCTTCCGTATCAGCTCCCTTCCGTTTACATAATATATTATATCATGTAAATGAATAGGACAATGCACACTATCCGTTCCGTTTCCCTTCCGTTCCATATCCTTTCCTTCCATACATTTTTTGGAGGACGGACTGAAGCGAATCGGAAACAGCCTTGTCAAGTTCTCACATTTGTACCAGCTCTGTGAACATTTTGATGATATTTATTTATTCTTTCACCTCTTAATTAAATCTATTATCTTTTTCAAAAGATACAAATTTTTAAAATAAAACTTTCGTAATGATATAAAAATACAATAAAAAGATAGAACTGATACGGAACGGAATTACGGTATAGCGTGAATATAATCAAAAATACGGAACGGATATGGAATGGATATGTAATGGAAACGGAAGGTATAGTGAGAATCAACCTTAATAGACCCAAACGCATAAAAAAGGAATTTTTATGCGAGATTTTTTAATTTAACGTTTTACTTTTTATTTTAATTATTTTTAATAAGCAAGGGAAAATGGAGATATACAGGGTGGCCAGAACTGTATTCCGGAAACTTCGGCAGCATATTCTGCAGATAAAAATAAGTAAAAAAGTTCGTATCAATGTATGTCCTAAAATGCTTAGTTTCTGAGATACAGGGTGTAGAAGTTTCATTTTTACTTCGATTTTTTCCAAATAATTTCTAAATTAACGTCAATATTTAGATGAAAATGGTATCTGGGAGTTTTTTCGCATGAGAAATTTGATTTTGATGTCGATATATGACTCTTATTTGTAGGGGGTGCCACCTACATATGTTTTAACTGCTTTTAAGAGGAATAACTTTCCGTCCGTACCTGTATAGAACTACTGGGTGACAAAATATAAATTTCCGTGATTTTCGACGTAAAACATATCTCTTTGAAAAAAATAAACAATGCCGAGTAGATAGTTAACTGACTAAAATTATAAATTTTGGAACATTTTATTTTTTTAAATTAATCATAAATTTTTATTTGAAAAAAAATCTGTTGAACTTTTGACACAAAAACATTTAAAATTTATGATTTCAGTTTAGTCAACATGTTTAATTTATGTCAATGACGACAGGTATTGATAATTTCGATTCGAAATATCTCGAAAACCATTACTCGTAGCGATTTTTACCAAGTAATCTTTTTTTACGTAAAAACCGTCGCAATGTGTGTATATTTTTTCACTCAGTAGTTTTATACAGGTATGGACGAAAAGTTATTACCCTTCAAACCAGGTAAAAAATATGTAGGTGGTGCCCTCTACAAATAGGAGTCATATTGACATCACAATCAAATTTCTCATGCCAAAAAACTCCCAGACACCAATTTTTGTCTAAATATTGACGTTACTTCAGAAATTATTTGGAAAATATCAAAATAAAAATGAAATTTCTACACCCTGTATCTCCGAAACTAAGCAGATTAAGACATACATTTATACGAACTTTTTTACTTATTTTTAATGCAGTATGCTGCCGAAATTTCCAGAATAGAGTTCGGACCACCCGTGTATATTTATAAAAACAAAAAACTAACTACAGAGCCCGGCAAAAGTGCGTCGGACATCTGTAGCTCCTAGAATAAAAACCTTGGAAATTTTGTTTAAGTGTAAACCTATAGTGTATGTTCGAGGATGTATTTCAGGAAAATATTTTAACTTTTATAGGGTGGCTCGAAAAAGTGTGAGTGAATCGGGATGATTTTTTTTAAATGGAACACCTTGTATATTATTGCATTTTTGGCTTCCTTCCAGATCACTTTACATAATCCTAAGATTTGAATCAATATATTTGGATAGTTTCAGAGATATTAATAAATAAATAAAAAAATTATATTTTTCAAGCTTCATTAGAAAAGTATTTTACAAATACAAGAACTGTCCTGAAATCAAAACTGTATTAGGTATTTGCTTTAGATGGTCTATACTTAACTCTGGTATAAATATCGTAATGTTAAATCATACAGGATGTTCAAAATTCTAAGCCAAACTTCCTAAAATATAAAATACTTTTTCTTTGGTTTTTTAAATGGAACACCCTGTATATTATTCTTTTATTAGATGGAGAATTAAAAAATGAACATTTTTTGTATTTAAAGTATTTCAAAATTTTTAATGGTTTCGCAGATACATGCAGTATTATTTCATATGGCTCTCTCAACAACGGTAAAATACGAGAGAAAAATCATGGGGTGGCTTTGACAGAAATTTACTATGGAAAATGCCATATGAAATATAAAACCGCCAATATCTGCGAAACCGTTAAAATTTTGAAATACTCTAAATACAAAAAATGTCCATTTTTTAATTCTCCATCTATTGAAAAAATAATATACAGGTTGTTCCATTTAAAAAAACGAACAAAAATGATTTTATATTTTAGAAAGTTTGGAGTAAAATTTTGAACATCCTGTATGATATTTCGATTACCATATTTATAGCAAAGTAAGTACAGACCATCTAAAGTGAATATCTGATATAGTTTTGATTTCAGAATAGTTCTTGTATTTTTAATAATTTTTTAAAGAAAGACTGAAAAATATATATTTTTTATTTATTTATTAATATCTCTGAAACTCTTCCCCTAGGAGATGCAAGACCTTGTCGTTGGTGGGGAAGCTCCTTGTCAGGTGCTGGCGGAATCTCTTCTAGCACTTTGGCTCGGTCCAAGAAGCATCTCACTCATTGTCTTGTCTCTGGCTGTAGTGGCCAGGGAATTGCACCAAGACATTTAAACCAGGCACCTTCTACTGTCTGTGGTCAAGAGTCTCTTGGGTAAGAGAGGGGTGTGGGGGGTCTTGGCTTAACCGCCTGGACCAAGAGGAGACAACCTCACCAAAAACCTAAATCCTACGATGGCGGGGCCAGGTCAAAGGGATGCGTGGCTAGATAGAGGACTAGCCATTACTGGTCTCAACCTTGGGGCATCAGGGGGCACCCCATTGTATTTACCCCTTACTTCTACATGCGGGGCTCTGTAGAAGTGGACTGACTATCCCTAGCGACTCGTGGGAACACTATGAGATCAAACTATCATAAAAACACCACCGGTGAAGCTGTGGGGAAACCCCCTAGTAACACTGGGAACATTATGAACGAAAGTTCCAAGGGACCAATCCCAAAGGGAACTACAGGAGGGGCGGCTGACACTTGTGCGAGGCCAGCCTCCACAAGTGGTACACAAGCTATCACCTCTTCTAGTAAGGTTCGGGAGTCCACCTCTAGACCTAACAAGCGACACCAGTTACCGTTCCGTCTACCAGGCTTGGGTCAACCAGGCGGGTTAGACGATCCGCTGAGAGTAGGTCTTAGCGGAGCACAAGTACGGAGATACCTCCGGCTGCTCCACGAAGGACTTGCTCCGGAGGAAGCAAAAGCCAAAACTCTCCTTGAAAAAGGAACCAAGAAACAACCTGGCGCATCTCCACCAAAGGGCAAGAGAGGGAGCGAAAACCTCTCCCCTTTGCTCCGTCAAGGAGAGAAAAAAGCCAGGATGGAAAGCCGTCCCACACCGAGAGGCAAGCAGGGACGTATCACTAGCTATGCCGCTATTGCTGGACAAGTGAAAATTGCGGTGCTTCCAAAGGAATATCCTGAGGTTGTACTGACTACCGAGCAGCAAACGGCTCTAGAAGAGGCGATACTGGACGAAGTAGTAGCGAGCGGATTGCGACGCAACGATCCACAAAGTGTGGGTCAGCTGCGCTTTGCGGGGATACACTTTAGGGTGGGCATGATCCTCATAGATTGTGCATCTGAAAAATCGGCGGATTGGTTGGTGGAAACGGCACCTAAGCTTAAAAATTGGCAGGGGCCGGGACTGGTTGCAATGAGGGGAGAAAACATCCCTAAAGGGACAACCATCACGGTCTTTCTGCCAAGAAGCAAGGGGAAAGACACCGCCTACCTGCTAGACCTTATCCAAGCTCAGAACGAGAATGTGAGTACATCGAGCTGGCGAGTCCTCAACTCGAAGGAGGAGGGCCATGGTCAGGTCCTCACAATAGGAATTGACCTCAAATCCAAGGAGGCAATAGAGAAAGAAGGATATAACCTCTATTATAGATTCGGGACGGTACCGGTATCAGGTCCAAGAAAAGAACAAGCTAAAGAGGGGGAGAAAATGGAGACAAATACTCCAGCCTCCAACTCACAAGTACCTCAGCCGGAGACAAGCTCCTCGACTGTGAAGGACACGGTTGGCGTAACTCCAGCCGTGAAAGGGTGTATATCCTCGGAGGAGGTTGATGACCACTCCACGGAGGAGGAACATCTGTTGCCAGGGGGGGATGGGAAATACCCTGTCCTCCCTACAACAGGGGGACCCTTACCTACCCCAGAAACCTGATGCATGGGATATCCCAAATAAACCTGCACCATGCAAAAGGGTCTTCTGCCACAATCACAAGACTCTTTGAGAAAAACCAATATGTAATGGTACTAGCCCAGGAACCCTGGGTGTACCAGGGACAAATTAAAGGGTTGTCTGGAAAAAATTCCAGTGTAATATATGATAACAGGCAGGAACTTCCCCGAGCCTGTATTCTTATAAGAAACAACATTAACTACACATGTGTTTCAGAATTTACAACCCGGGATCTTGTTCCAATCATGGTTCAACTTAATATCGAGGGTTGTAGCAAAAATATCGTGATTGCCTCTGCATACTTTCCGGGTGATGGGCAGACACCGCCTCCGGAAATAGAGGAGCTCGTGCGATTCTGCAGCCAACGGCGACTACCTCTGCTATTGGGATGTGACT